GTCAGGATCCTGGGGTCCTCTTGAACTTCACGGTTCTTTTGGACAATGTAAGGTATACTGAATACCTCTCTTTCTCTCTGGGTTCCAGCCTCAAGGTCTTTCCCTGATAGCTCCATCCTTGAACTGATTCCAGTTCAAGTCTCAACCTCCCACACCCACCCAGTTCTAAAGTACTTCCTCTCAGTTTCCAGCTAACCAGCCTGTTGTTTTTTTTTCTAATGCATTAGGCAAAATTATTTGTATTTGTGCCCTGACCTTTGCTCCTCAAAGGTCAGATCTATGAAAGCAACCATACTCTATACTCTGTTCTCTATAACATCCCAGTGCTAGCACAGTGCTCCTGGCAGCCAGTACCCAGGATTTCCCTTTGTTGAACTGATGAGTTAATATCCCAGGGCTGTCACTGGCTCAAGCTATTCCTCCCTAGAATTCCTGCTCAAAAGCAGAAGCATATATTCACAGCTTTAGGCACCCTACAACATGCAAATATCACAGCCCAGGTGTCTAGCCATTCCCAGACTCCACAGTCAGGTGGGACATGGAAGACCTGTGAGCTCAGGGCAGATCAGACTGCTTCTCACACATGAGTGAAAATAATGATATGTCATATCAACTCATATTCAACCAATGTTTATTAACAACCTAATACATATTTTTAAAGAGCCCAATATACACAACACTTTTATATGCTTATCACATTTAATCCAATGCCCTTCTGAGAGTGACGTCATTAATGCTTTCCGACAGATGAAAACCTGTGGCTCAGTGAGAAGCGCTGCTTATCTAAAGCTCTCCAGTACCTCAGTGCAGCAGGGGTCCAATCCAGGCCTATTGGATTCTAAGTCAGAAGTGTTTCCTCCTATACCACACTGCCTCTCTGAAAGGGTAGAGGGGAACCAGTTCCTAAGCCACTGCCTCCTAGACCAGGCTAGGCTGTACCCAATGGGTGATACCAGTCAGGAAGGAGAGGAAGGAGGGAGAAAGTCTTAGAAGTGGAGAGGAGGGGGCTACAATTTAACCCAAGGATTTCCCCTAAATCGACCCCTCAGTGCCATAGTATGCTGTGCTGACAGGCTGGAAGGACAAGGTGCCACTGCCCAGGGGTAGACAGGCAAAGGCCTTTAAGTTCAAGCCAGTGGGATAGGGAGGGAAGGGAGGATGAGTCCATCGTTGAGCATCATCCTTTGGTTGGTGGAGAGCCAACAGAGAAGAATGAAGACAAACCATCAAACCTCACTTTGGTGTCTTGGCCCAACACTCCTAGCTTGGCCAGACAAGAAGTCTACCTCTGACATGCCACCCAGCTCAGTCTACCTTCTCAGGCTTTTTCCAGGACTTGTGAGTTTCCAGAAAGATCTTGACCAGAGACAGGAGGATGGGCACAGCCATAGGCAGGAAAAGTGGGATATAGATAGCAAATTTCTGGTCATCAGGGAAATACAAGAGGTGGAGGAGTGAGGGATCAAAAAAGGCACGCTCAGAAGATGTCACAGCTTCCTGGCTGGCCACAAAGGCAGATGACAGGTGCCCAAGGGCCAGCTCCTCTGCTGCCTTCTGGACTGCAGCCACAGCCCTATATACCTAGGAAGGTGAAGGGATAGGAGTTAGCAATATGCCCTGGGCATGGGGTAGGGGAAGAGTGCTGGCCTTTTAGAACCCTCTGTCTCCCAGGGAAGTTTCCTGGAGTCCACCCAAGCTATGTGGAAGTTAGTCAAAAAGGGTTGTTTATTTTCTTGAGGGTCAGCTTAAAACTTTCATTTGTTCCTACCTAGACTCCCATGGGGAGCTGGCATGGCTTCCAGAGGAAGCCTGATGTATTTATTAATGGATGGCATGCTCACAGGCACCCTGGCCCATCCCTTCCTAGCCCATTTACCTCAGATGCCACATCATCCTTGATGACAATGTTGCTGATCTTGCCCAGAAGCTGGGCCAGGGAGGTGAGGGTGGTGGTGGCTGTGGCCAGGTTCTCCACTGACCGAGCCCAGAGCAATCGGTCCAGCTCCCAAGTCATGAGGCCTTCACTCTTTGGTCCTGAAAGCAGGCATTTTGGAGGCACCTGGGGCTGAGTAATCCCAAAGAGAAGCCTGTGGAAATGGCACCGGGAGACCAAAGTTGCTGTGAACAGGGGTGCCAAAGCTAAGATTCCCATAGTCTCTGTCTTAAGCCAGTCACTTTTGGTTTCACTGAGAACAACAGAGTTGGAAAGATGAGTAGCAACAGCAAACAACCCAGATTTCCAAACCCCACCTTGACCAAATATTTCCATTTCCACACTGGAGTTCCAAGATCTTGTCTGAAAATGGTGCTGTGGTTTAAGTGTTTCTTTAGCCCCAACTTAGTCCGGTTCCCTCCCTTTCTTTGAATAAATGGACTCCATGGGACAGGGATGGCAGGCCCATCTTTGACAAGACATGTGTGCCTCAAGGTACTGCCAATTACAAGAATACAGTCCTGATTAGCCCAGAAGCCACCTTAGCATCTTCGATGTAGAGCATCAGATGACTGCCCTCAATTCATGTGTTAGCACAAAATAAATAGCTATTTTCTTAAAAACAAAAACAAAACAAGGAGCTGGAGGGATGGCTCACTGGCTGCTCTTCCATAGGAGCTGGGTTCGACTGCCAGCACCCACCTGATGGCTTACAACCATCTGTAACTCCAGTTCCAGAAGATCCAATGCTCTCTTCTGGTCTCTGTGGACACTAGGCATACAGGCAGGCAAAAAAGCCACACACATAAAGTAAAAAATAAAATAAAAAATTTAAAAAAGATGAGACCTTATCTCAAAAGAAAACAAAAATAATAAAATAGTTGCTCATGCTCTCTCTCTCTTTTTTTTGAGACAGAGTTTTTCTTTGTAGCTCTAGCTGTCCTTGAACTCCCTCTCTAGACTAGGCTAGCCACGAACTCACAGAGATATGCCTGCCTCTGCCTTCCAGGTGCTGAGATTAAAGGTGTGCACAACAGTTATTCTCTTAGACACCCCTAATCACACATGGAAAGCTGGCTTCTATTTTTCTGAAGGAAGCTTTGCCAGGTGCTTGTCTTCCTTAGGAGAAGGACCACTTGCAAATTTTTCTTGGTCTTTCTCGGGTCTAGGCACAGACATAGCACTCCACAGCAGTCCCCCAGGCAACATTTCATTCCGCTATATCTCGCCTATATTCAAAGAGACGATGGGCACACCATCCATGGGCATAGCCCCAAAGAGGTCATGCAGGGCCTTACTTCAACTGAGCCAGGAACACCTCCATCACCTGCACCATGTCCACCTCAACTTTCACTGGCAGATCTGAGGCATTATAGATTTTGGGATCAACGTTGTATATCTGAAAATGGGGAACAAAATAACCTCAATACCACACAGGACCACGCATATTTCTGCTTAGTATTCAGGGGCCATCAAAGAAAAGGAGGCTATGGCATCTGGTATCCACAGGTTATAAATCCAGGGGCACAGCACCCCCCTTTTAAATTTTGAGTACCCATGTACTTAAGTACGAAAGAAGCTTCGGTACATTATACTAATTGCCCCCTCGGAAGTCCTATGAAATTCAAAGCAATTATCCTATTTTAGCATTCCTACCCACAGACCAGAGGATAAAGGAGAGAAGGGCCCCACCATTGTAAGACTCCCCCAGGGAAGCCAAGAGCTAACTAGGGTGGACACAGACCTCCAGTGCAAACTGATAAGTCACAGTGACTATTACCATAATGCCACCCCAGCGGGGACTGTGGAAGGCATTGGTGGCCACTGGAGCCCCATCCTTGTCCTGAATGTACAGAGGGGAGTGGGCAAGCTCAGGCACATAGAGCAGAAAGTTGAGCACAGGGTACAGGGAGGCAGCGCTGGATCCTGTGGTACAAACAGAGGAGTTAGGATACCAAAACATGTGACTCCAGGCTCAGCCTCTTCATGGCTGGGAGAACCCCGTTCCCCAAAATGATGCTTACTAGGACGCTTGCTACTCCACATTGATGGGACACAGTCCTTAACCCCCAAATGTCCCTGGTTTTCTGCCCTGTAAGAGCCCGCCCTCCACTGTCTACGACAGCTCTCTTGGACACTAACAAGAGGAATTTCAGCTCTGTAACAGGTTTTAGGAAGACGTCTGTCAGCTCTCTGCTCTCCCTCAAGCTCTTCATCCCAGGCTACAGCTCACACTCCTTACCACTGGTGCTTGCTGGCCTCACCGGCCTCACCTTTGGTCACCCACTCACATTTCAGCTTCCTAAGCTACTCCAAACTCCCTCAGTTTCTATGCTCTTCCTCTTCTTTGTCTAGGCCCGTTCCCGTTGCCCTAACAGCCTCCTGTCTCTGTCCTCATGCTGCACAAAGCATCCTCTAGCTAATGTTGCGGACTGAATGAAGTAATAAAGAAAGGAAGAATGTGCCTCCCCTCTCGAAATCCTTGGTCCATACTTAGCAATACATTTAACTCTGGTCTTTCTTCACCACACTGCCAGGGCTCCTTCCCTCCAGATGAAAGATTATAATCCTAGCTTCAAGGTTCCCCGAATTCACTGAGTACAACTGTCCATTCAAATTCTGCTTTGCGCTGGCTGGTGCTTGCCACCATACCTGATGACCTGAATCTAATCCCCAGGACCTACATAATGGAAAGAAAAGATGAACTTTTGTTTTGTTTTGTTTATTTGAGACAGGGTTTCTCTGTGGCTTTGGAGGCTGTCCTGGAACTCACTCTGTAGACCAGGGCTGGTCTCGAACTCACAGAGATCTGCCTGCCTCTGCCTCCCAAGTGTGCTACTACCGCCCAGCTTGAGAAGATGAACTCTTACAAGTGGTACTCTGATCTCCACATGCATATCACACATTCCCTCCAACATCCACAAAATGCATAAATAAATGCTAAAAGAAAAATCAAGGGTCTGGAGGTATTGCTCAGTGGTTAGGAACACTGGCTGCTCTTCCAGAGGACCTGGGTTCAATTTCCCAGCACCCACATGGCAGCTCACAACTGCCTGTGACTCCAGTTCCAGGGGATCCCACACCCTCATATAGACATGCATGCAGGCAAAACACCAATGCACATGAAATAAAAATAAGTAACTAGGCCAGGCGTTGGTGGCGCACGCCTTTATTCCCAGCACCCGGGAGGCAGAGGCAGGGGAATCTCTGTGAGTTTGGGACTAGCCTGGTCTACAAGAGCTAGTTCCAGGACAGCCTCCAAAGCCACAGAGAAACCCTGTCTCAAAAAAACCAAAATAGATAGATAGATAGATAGATAGATAGATAGATAACTCATTTTTAAAAAAGGAGACAAAAGAAAAACTAAATTCTGCTTTCAAAGGCTGGGGACGTAGCTCAGTGGTAGCGGATGCGTCTGGCTGCACAAGAGCCTGAGTTCAGTCCCCAGAACTGAGGGAAGAAAATTACAGTAGTATTTTTTTTTTTAAAGCTGGTTGTGGTGGCACATGCCTATAATCTCAGCTTGGGGAGGTGGAGGCAGGAGGATCAGGAGTTCAAGGCTTTCTTGGCTACAAAGTGAGCATGGAGCCAACCTAGGATATATAAGAGCCTGTCTCAACAACCAAAGGGAAAGATGAGAGAGGGTGACAGGATGGGAGGGAGGGAGGGAGGGAGAGAGGGAGGGA